TTGAGTTTTGATATAGGAGTAATGACAGTATCACCCTTTGATTTTTCTGACCTGAACAAGTAGCCCTATCAATTGAGTAATAAGATTTGAGCCCCCAATGAAATGATTTAAAAAAAGATTTTAAAATACTTTGCCAGTTTTAACCTATTTGAGAAATGTCTCCGAGTTTTAAGTAATCTTTTTCTTGACCATTTACCTGGGAGTCCCTTCAGAGATACTCTCTCTTTTAATATTTAGTAAGCATACCTCTTAAAATGAATAAAGATTTTCTTATAGAAATTATCCTCAGAAAACAAAGGTCCCTAAGAAAGTCTTATTCAGAAAGACTAGGTAAATGGTCCCTAGAAGATTTTGGAAGATAATCAAGAGAAATACTACACCGTTTTGCAGAATTCACTCACTGGAGCGATAGTTTTTCTAGCCCCTACAGGACTTTAAGTCCAAATGTAGCATAGAACATAGCTCATAATTTTAAACCAACCAAACAAACAGTAAACCATTCAGCACTCTATGTGAATTGTCCTTATAGACACTGTGGTCCTATAGACACTGCGCTGCCCTCACATTCTCCACACACACTGTGACTTCACAAAGAAAAGTCCCTGACTTTTTCTTTAAAAGCTGCTACCTTGGCTCATCCTTATGTCCCCCCCAAACTCTTCAGACCCCAGATTCAGTGTCCCTCATTTTCAGGAGCACAGGCTTATTTTCAGATACTGCCAGCATCTATCACAATTTTAAAAGGCATCAGAGAAACCATGGTGGCTTCCAACCCCTGGCCCTTCCACAGCCCCTCTGCCTACCCCTGGCTAGTCACCGAGGCATATGTACCCTGGTCACCCCAAAGTGCTCAGAAAACCCCATAAACACAAGTAAAAAAGCAAGCAAAGGTCCCAAAGGGCTATTCTTACCTGATGAGATGGTGACCTGGGTTCCTTGTCCCCAGACGTCTAAACCGTAGTAATCACAATGGTGGGATCTCTTTCTCCATCCCACAAAAACCCTCCACAGAGGAATTTGTGCCCATTGGACTCTCCTTAAGGAGGCTGACAACCACTTGACATTCCCTTCCCTGTCCTGGGACCCTCTGCCAGTGCCAAATGGGATCCCACATTCTGACCCAGTCACTGCCATCTGTACCCTCGGGCTGAGGGAGCAACATGACTCTAAGCTGTGGAGACGCTGCCAGAACAAAAGCCTCCTTTTCATAAAGTTGTGTTCAACCCTCCGAAACCCCAAACAAGCAGCGATCGGTCACGAAACACCCGGCCAGTCATCCCGGGAGGAGAGAAGGGCAGGTCTCCCTTTCCTGATAGCCAAAATGCCTTGGCCTCTTTCTGCAAAAAAGATCTGTGCCCCCCAATCCTAAAAATTCTGCACTGAGTGGGGAAGGGGGCAAAGACTCACCTGAGGAGACAGTCACCGAGGTTCCAGGGCCCCATGGGTTAAACCAGTTGTCACAATGTAACAAATGGGTAGAGACCCCAAACAAGAAGTGGCATCTGATAATGGCCTTTGGAGACTCGGGGCCATCTCAAATGAAGTATTGTGAGGGCCAAGAATGGCTGGGACCCTAAGAAACTCCTGACTGCAGAGTCCAGAAGGAGAAGGTGGTAGGAACCTCAGCACCCTGCCCCTATAACCGTGAGTCCCTGAGTGTGTCCTGCATGAGACCTCCAAACTATTCCCAGAACTTCTTATTATAAGGCTCAAAACACAGCTAAATCCTCTTAATCGAGTGGGAGAGAGAGACAATGAGGACTCACCTGAAGAGACGGTCACCATGGTTCCTTGGCCCCAGTAATAAAAGTAGTCACATCGCCATCTGGCCCATTAGGGGCCGTACAAAAACTATGACTGTGTCTGGCTACCCTATGACCAGGTCCAAACCAGAAAGCTCTAGGTTTCCATGCCCCAAAACACGGGGTGGGGTAGGAGGTGTGTGACTGTCTAACATAGGTCCCAGCAACATGAAACCCATATCCCCAAAGCAATGCCCTTTGCAGAATGTAGAACCAAACCACAAACTCATTCCCTTGGAGACATCCCCAAGAGTCCCGAGAGGCACCACACAGACCTAGGTCCTCCAAAACTTTTTTTGTCCAGCACCAGGACAGAGGAGGCTGGACCAGTCAAGGAGGCAGAGAGGAAGCCGATTTACCTGAAGAGACAGTGACCAGTAGACAAAAACATCGCACAGGGTTTGGGGACCATTGTTGGCAGCCCATGGTCCCACATGACCACCCCAGACAGTGGTCATGTCAAAAAGTCTCAGAGCAGAAGAGAAGCTCAAGCAGAAATGCAATTACCTGAAGTGACAGTGATTCCAGTTCCCAGGCCCCAGATATCGAAGTAACCGTAGTCACATTGATGCCTGTGGCCAGCTCAGCCGTGCATCAACCATCCTGCTCTGCCCTCATGCCTCCCTGCAGTCCCCCAGGCTTCCCTCACCCAGCCGCCAGCCTGAGTCTGGGGATCTGCTGACAGGGAAGGACATGTTACTGGGATAGGAATGTTGCAGGGCTTCTGGCCAGTCCTCCCAGACTTAGCTGACCAATGGCAGTGGAGATGGCTGTCTGGCTCTCATGTCCACCTCATCCAAGTTTTCCCAACTGCACATCCGAGAAGCCAGTCCAGAGGGACTACAGTGCAGTGGTGGGGGGCTCCCCGGAGAAGATGGTGACCAGGTGGCCCCGACCCCAGCAGCCTCCAGGCATGGGCCAGAGCAGTCAGGCAGTGACCTGGGGTTTTTGTAGCCTACTCAATCACTGTGGCCCCAGTTATCACCGTGGTGACATCCCCAACCAAAACCCAGAGGGCAGCCAGGTGGGGACTAGGGTTGCTCTTCGGAAGAGGGGTGCTGCAGCTGCAGATGGTGGTGGTGGGATGAGGTGGGGGTGGGAATGGGGGAGTGGAGGAGGGAAGGAAGGAAGAGGATGCAGCTGTTGCTTGGATGTGGGGGGAGGGTAGTCAGGAGAGTGGGGTGCAAAACCTCATTTCTCCTCCAACTTTGGATTTCCTGTGGTCAGTGCAGAAATGCCATCTCAGGAAGGTCCCTGTGCTGTGGGCACCCAGAATCTATTTTAGAAACAACAGTGGAGCACCCCCCCACCCACATGCCAGATGGGTCACAGGGAAGGGATGAGTCAACCAGGGTGCAGTAAAGCACTGATGAAACACACAATATGCCTCTGGGTCCTTGAGGCTTCCTCACCCCCCACTATCATGACCCCAGTGCTGCCTCTCAATTTGGACTAGACTGGAGCATGTACACAGGTATAGATCAGAGATAAGGGCTCATGACACACAGAATCCAGGAACAGCAATGAGAATAGCGATACCAGGAGGGCAGGGGAAAGTGGGGGGAAGAGGAGAGGAAGGAGGGAACCAATAGCAATGATCAACATATAACCACACACACCCCCTCCAGGGGCAAGAACAATAGAAACCATGGGGGAAGGAGGATATGAAACTAATAATTTATAATCTATCAATGGGTCATGAGGGCAGGGGGGAGGAGGGAGGTAAAAAAGAGGAGCTGATACCAAGGGCTCAGATAGAAAGTAAATGTCTAGAAAAGAATGATGGCAACATATGTACAAATATGTCTGATACAATTGATGTATGGATTGTAATAGAAGTTGTAAGAGCCCCCAATGAAATGATCTTTTAATGAAAAAAGAAAGAAGGAAACGGAGCAGTTGGATGCTGGGATCCTACACTGTCTTCGTCCTGCCATCCAGGCTCTTTCTGCAGTGGGGGTGGAGACCATGGATGGGGATGTGGCGGGAGGCAGTGGGGGAGGAACTCTTGACACAAGCAGCAGTGAATTCCTTCAAGGGGCCATGGCACTTCCCAGCCCTGAAGGCGTCTTCTCTCTTTGAGTACATTGACATGCCATTGTCATGGGTTCTCTGTTGGTTGTCACTTTGAGTAGGAACTTCTGGAGGTCAGGGACCCCCAGCTGTGACCACCACATGTCTCCACCAGTCAGGGCGCATTGTCTTCTTTACAGACCTCCTTCTGGACAGGGATCTGAGGTAGCAGGAGCAGGGAACCTTGCAAGATAGACTGTGTGAGTCTAGGTTGACTACAGAAATGAATTCATAGACACTCATATGTGTGTAAGAGGAACTTTATATACAAGAGCAATGGAATATTGAGAAAACATCCCAGCTCAGTGCAAATCAAGTCCATAAGTCCAATATTACCCCATATGTTGATACTGGTCCATAAATTCTTCCTTAGACTCATGAAACACATGCAATGGCACTGAATGCGGGAAGATCAGAGGCCAGTGGGTGGAAAGTCTTAAAGATCCAGTGCTGGTGTAAGCCTCTCAGTGCTGACAGGGATCTCCACATGGCTCCTTCAGCTTCAGGGCTCTAGTTTAAGTCCATGTGTCTTGTCAACCGGAATGCCTCACAAGAAGTGAGCCTGTGTCCCACCTCTACCTCCAGCGAGCTGTTTATCACATAGACAGAAGATAAAACACCCTCCCCAATGGTTATCAGTCTTAGACTTGCTCAAGCTGCTCCCCTCCTGACTCAGGCTACAGAAAGCAGTGTCCTTAGCAGGTCGTTGTGGAGGGGATGGAATAGCAGTCCTTGTGGATTTGGTCCTCAGGTGTGGACAAGCAAACAGGTTTCAGAGGGCAGGTGTGGGTAGGAGCAGCCTGCAGCCTGCAGCACTGCCCTGTTGGGGCTAACAAGAGTGGACCTAGGTGGAGAGATGACATCAAGAAAACTTGCTAGGAAGGAAGCAGTTGGGCAGTGTCCTGGGATGTCTGTGTGTGAGTGCTGGACTGTATAGTCTTGGAAAGTCCCAAGGCAACAGGTTTTCTGATGTGACAGAGGATTGCTGAAGATGGGGGTGTGAGGTTTACTCTAGATGTTACCTTCAGCAGTAGTGTAGAGGATGACTTGAGTCTGTGGTGAGGGTCTGATAGGAGGGAATGTTGGGAGTAAGAAATAAACATAGGCTCCTTCAGGGTGGAGGTGTGAGGGTGAGAGTTCAAACATGTGAAATATGGAATCTGAGGATTCTTCCTACAGGGTGGAGCATGGATCATGGATGGAAGATTGACAGTGAAGGGGATGAATCCTGATAAAGTGAGGAGCCCTACTAAATAGAGGAGGGATAGTGAGGGATCCTGAAGGATGAAAGATGGGATGTAGAGGATCCTACGGGGAGAGGGAGCATTCCACTGGATGGAAGGGATCACGAGGATTCCTACAGGATGCCAGAGGGTGTTGAGGCATCATACAGGGTGGGGGTCCCACAAGGTTGTGGAATAACCCACAATGGGTGAGATGTCTCATAAGATGGAGCAAGGACAGGGAAGGATCCTATAGGAATGCAAGTGGAGTGTGAGTTAAACTGGGTGGTGGAAAGCAGAATTATGAAGTTCTAATACCTACAGGATTTGGAATCAAGGTTGGATTCCAGGTGCTTGGTTGGGGCTCCCGGAAGTGTTTTGAGATGCTCCTGGGGAGAGACACAGGGGGTTCAATGGTGGTGTCAACCTCTCAACCATCTATGTGTCCTGGGGCTTTTCTGCATGTGGTTGGTGAGTCCCAAGAGTATCCTGGGCTTGAAGCCAGGGACAGGCAAGTGGAAGATTAGAAATCACACTGGGTTGTGAAGGAAGAGTTCCTTCCTTTGAAGGAAGAGGAACCAAATGAATTGGGGAGGGCTTGCTCAGGAGCACCTGCAAGGAGAGAATCACTGGGAGTAAGAAGGGAATGAGTGACAGTAAGTAGCCAACAATGTGTCCTGAAGCAGCCAGCTTCCTGGCAGGTCGATCATGCCCAGCATTGGGATCTCTGAGCTCACCTAGAATTGGATGGATCTAGCCCGGCCCTTACCTCTGCAATTAGGTTCTTGATCTTTGGGCACTTTGGGAGCCTCACAGTTACTTTCACAGGACCTTAATTGGTCTCTCAAGCCCCAGTCTTGCTTCTAAAAATATCTTCTTCCTGTGGTCTCAGCCCTGACTCCGAGACCTCCTGTCTCCCTCCCTGGGGAGCAAGGGCTGCTACTCCAGGCTCTCAAGGAAACACCTGCTGCCACTTCTCTAGGGGGAGTGATAGAACCCCCTGTGCCCAGCCCCCCAACCCAGCCCTCCCTATCTGGCTGATGCTAACATTCAGCCTTCAGGAGGACAGCTCAGCCTTGTAAAACAGCACTCCCAAATGATCTAACATCCTTGATGGAACAAAGCATTTGGAGGGCTCTTTGAGTCTTTTGAAGAGTCTTTTAAGTGGTTCAGTGGTGAGGTGTTGGGCTGCTAACCGCAAGGTCAGCATTTCAAAACCAGCATCTGCTCCTCAGGAGAAAGAGTAGGCTTTCTACACCTTTGAAGAGTTACAGTCTCAGAAACCCACAGGCAGTTCTACTCTGCCCGAAAGGGTGGCTATGAGTGGCATCAACTTGATGACAGTGAATTTTCTGAGCCTTCTGGACAAACCCCAGTCTTTCTTGTGCTATAGTGTGGCCAGAATTCTGAAAAACAAACAAACCATTATATCATTCACGCCCAAGCTAGCCAACACCCCACTTTGCAATAGCACCCATATCTTCAGTGATCTCTACATGACAGTGGCCATTGAGTAGGGTCATGTCATAAGAACTAATTTTTCTTAAATTAAGGTTAGGATTAAATGTGAGCCCGAAATTC